GGGGGGCTGGGTCCCCTGCACGGTGGGGGGCTGGGTCCCCTGGCGGTGGGGGGCTGGGTCCCCACGCCCTCACTGCCCGCTGTGCTGCCTCCTGTGTCCATGCACGCATTGTGCAGGCAATGCCGAGCCTCAGCCCCACCTCACACGCTCACCTCACGTGTACACAGTCGCCTCACACTAAGCTCTGGCCTCCCCTCATCCTATGTATGCCAGCCCACCACCTGCCGCTGTGCACACACAGCAGGGGAGGCCGGGCAGTGCCACGGGCCGGGTGGTGCCATGGTCTCCGCTTGCCCACAGTCGTGTACAGTGGGAATGGCAGTTTCCCTCTCAACTCCCAGAAGACACCATGAGCTCAGACACATCACACCTTACCCCGCACACCACCTCCAGAACCCCACACACCCCATCCAGTGCCTCAGCTAGCACACAGCCCAGCCAATCTCCTCGGCCTTTCACCCGATCTGGCAACGTGCTAAGCGGACTTGACTAACTGCCCAGCCCAGACAGGAGTGAAGCGCAGCAGGCCCACAAAGAGAGCCACATGCAGCCTGGGCCCGCTGCCCACAAAGGCACTGATGGCCCACTGGCTCTGCAGCGGAGAGGATGGGGGGGGGTTGGGAGGGGAGTTAAAAGGGGCATGGGCCATCGGGGCGTAGGCAGACGGCTGGCCACACCTTAGGCAATGAAATCATGCCCTTTACTTCCAGGCCCAGGACACCCAAGAAGAACTGCTCAATGCTCAGGTAGAGACGCTCCTGCGCTCTCTGGAAGGGACAGGCTGAGGCCAAGACCAGGATTTCAGTAATGGCAAAAGAGAGAAAAGACGCACAGCTGCCTGGCGGGGAAGCAGTGAGCACTCAGGCCGCCCCCTCCCCCAGCATGGAGGTTAATAAGAGGTCGGCTCCCCCTCAGGTGCCAGGAGAGTTCGCAGAGTGCAGAGAAAGGCCCGCCCCCAGCAGCGGCCCAGGCCAGAGCCTGAGCTCCAGACACTCACAGGTTCTTGGCAGCCCCAAATCCTCCGGGGAAGATGGCAGCGTCGTGGTTGGAGGCGCTGAGCTGGGCCAGATTGGTGATCTTGCCTCGGGCAATTCTTGCCGACTCTGCCAAAACATTCCTAGGAAGAGAACAAACCAACATTACATAAGGAGCAAGGTACGCGCAGGGCTAAGGGAGGAACACTGGGGACGTTTTCTATAAGCAGCTTGTAGCCAGCCATGTTTATGGCTGCCACCTAGATGGAAAAGCAAAGGATTCTATGGCCCTGACCCACACTAGAGTCCTCCAGGTTGCCCATCAGAGGGGTCAAGGGGAAACGGACACCCCTCCAAGCACAACTCAGTCATCCCATGAGGTAGAACGGGGCCTAGGAAGCTACCGCTTAAGGGCCAGCTACAGCCAGGAGCTACTGCCACCCTACAAGCGTGGCACAGAGCAGAGGCAAACAAACAGCTGAGATTCTGCCTGGCCCTGCCCACAGCACGCGTCAGGGTGGAGACCTGGAGCACAATGTGCCGCAGCACCGGTGGGGAGGAATGTGACGCCCAACCGGTGGACATGGGCAGAGATGCCCTGCTCACATCAAACCTAAGGCACGAGCACCTTCACCAGCGGCTCCCAACCTCGTGGGCATTTTCACTCCTGTGCTAAGCACCGAGGGGTAAGAAAGACTGTAACAAGGGACAGTGTGTTTCCAGAGCAGCCGCTCTGAGGGACAGTCACTGAACACACGTCTGGGGCACCAGGCACGCAGAGCTAGCCTCAAGGGCTGCACCACAGGAGGCCTGAGGCCCCACCACACCCGCACCTGCTCTCGCTCTCAGATGGCTGCCCCTTGGTGTGGTCAATCACGTGCATCTGAGGGACATCTGGGGCAAAAATCTGGACCTCAGCTCCTCCACGGCTCAGGTGCACCAGGATCCTGAAGAGGAGAAAACAACAACACATCAACACCTGCCAACCCAGAAGCCTTGGGCTCAGCTTTTTCCTTTCTGGCAACATTGGGAGCTGAACTTTGGCGTCACATTTGCAACAGATGCTCTACGTTTGTACCACACTCCCAGCGTTTTGAGTTTATACACAGGCCAGCCTGCATCACAGCGCCCTTACTTGTGATTCCTAGACGGCTGAGATGACAGAGCACAGAGCCAGCTCACCCACGCTGAGACCTTCCAGACCTCTATGCCCGAGCAGCTGAGTCTGCAGGCCTGACCCCCTAGCCCCACTGTGCTGTGTATTTACACATGTATGTTGAGCCTGTTTACTTCATGGACCCATGGCTGGGCTGACAGCTTCTTAGGCCGTGGTGGGTGAGCAGGGAGCCGCAGGACAAGCTGTGCAGTGTACGTGGTACCAATAACAACCTTTGCAGCCTGGGCGCCAGGGCGCCTGGGGGTGCTGCGCTCTAGGCTGTGGCCCAGCCCTCACCTTACTGAACACCACATGTGCAGTGAAGAGGTGCTGAAGACCCGTCACTACTCAGCCTTGTTGCCAGTCTCCTCCAAGAGACGTGGACACATGGGCAGGATGAGTGGACAGGAAAGGAGTTACCCCCCGACCCGCAGCAGCAGGACCCCCAGAGACAAGAGCGGGCGCTCCTGAGCTCCCTCTGGGCCAGCTCACGTGCTCACCCTCCCACCGGGACGCAGAGGAGGAACCTGAGGCACAAGGTCACAAAAATAGGTGGGATCTGGTCCTGGCACCCAGGTGTCTGGGGGTCTTCAGCCCACCCCATGGCTGCGCAATCACCTACCGCATTGGCTTTCTCCCTGCGGCTCACTGCTGGGAGGCTGTGTCTGTGGCGTGCTCAGGCGCCCACCCTTGGAGCTCCCGTTTACCCTGCTCCACGTGGAAGGGGGTGCTGGGTTGGGAGGTGGAGTACCACCCTGTGAGTAACTGCTCACCTCAGCTCTCCAGTAAAACAGAAAACCAGAACCAACTGCTCAGTACACAAAGGTGGCCTCCCATGCAGAGAAGCGACCGGAAGGAAGCAGATTCCAACCGGAACCTGTGCCAGAAGCCTCCAAGCACGACCCGACAATTTGTCGTTTCCCACTGTTCCCTTCTAAACCCCGACTTAAATACATCTCCTGTGCATGGTCTCCAACGGACAACTTACGCAGAGGCCTCGTGGATCTCGGTTCCGTCATAGACCCCACAGCCAGACAGCACCTGTCAAGAGAGGGGGCAGGGGAGGGACATACAAAGTAACAAAGAAATAATCTTATAAATGTGTTAGAAACAATCGCATGAAAGAAAAAAAAAACTTATGAGTACATCTCTTAGAGTTCATTTCCCTAACATCACCTTATCTGACCTTTTCTGCTTGACTCAGACATACTTTCGCTATATTTGATGTCAGTATAATTTGTGGAGAAGGGGAAAAACAAATTGTTTAAATAGGGATACAGGTGGACCCATTGCAACAATGAGATGTACACGTCGTTATGTCGAAAACAAACTTTACAACTTTGGTGGTGGGGTGGGGAGGATTGGGTGGGGGGACGGGGAGAAGATGGGAAGGGATGGAAGGGGAAACAAAGGAGGAGGCTACAATGCTTAATAAGAAATGTACTCATTATCTTGCCCATGTAATTGTAACCCCTCTGTACGGTATTTTCACAAAAAAAAGTAAAAGTGATTGAAAGAACATGAAACAAAAAAAGAGAGGGGGCAGGGCGCTGACCAGGGGCAGGTGTGGGAGAGTCTGGGCAGCCACGCAGGGGGCAGGAGCAGATGCCCTAGGCCAGTGGGGTGTCCCATGGGGAGAGGCTGGCTGACCTTGGGCTGGCCAGGCTGGGGCCCTCCAGGTGGTGGGCTGGGCAGGGGCAGGCGGGGCAGGGCAGGCAGGCCGGGCAGGGACAGGGGTAGGGGCAGGAGCGGGGCAGGGGCAGGGCAGGCTGCAGCAGGGGCAGGGGCTGGAGCAGGGGCCGGACAGGCCGCGGCAGGGGCAAGGGTGGGGCAGGGCAGGAGCAGGAGCCAGGCAGGCCGCGGCAGGGGCAGTGCAGGGGCAGGGGCCGGACAGGCCGCAGCAGGGACA